TCCAAAATCAAGGTTTTTTCTTTACTTTTGGTCCTGAAAATTTGAAATGTCCGTTTTACCCTTATTATTTCTTTTTCCATTTTTTATTGTGTTATAATTTAAAAAATTATAAAAAAATAAAAAATAAAAAATATCATCCTACCCCTCTGACTCCACCCACCGTACCCCCCCCCTCTCTCTCTCTCTCTCTTCTCTCTCTCTCTCTCATCAGCAACCAATAACACTCACATTTATTGCTTTGTTCTTCAACATTCAAGAACACCGTTGTATCTTCTTCGCTCACATCCTCTCTCGACTCCAGCTCAGGTAAGTATTTGCTTTGTAATTGGTTGTAAGATACCTTCCTCTCTTCCGATCCACACCTTTGCCTTGTTGTCCTCGTGTTCATTTATTCCGCACTGGGAAACAAAGATGAAGCAAAAAAGCCACAACTATTTCACTGTCGCTGGAAACCCTAGCTCTGTAATTCCGGAGATAACCTCCATGGCAGGCGGCGGTGCGAAGCCTATATCTCAACAAAACCCTAAAAACGAAATGAAAATTGAAGGTAAGATATCGATTTCTCAACAAAACTTTGTCTCTGTCTACCTCCACCTCGATTTAGGAACATCAATGGCCAAATATACAACAGTATCATCTTCTTGAAATCTCCAATCTATTTTTTTAATCAATTTTTGATCCAGAAGGGTTGAACGTCTGAAATCGAGTTTTGAACCAAATTCTATCCGTCGGGGCAACTCTATGGGAGTAGTTGAAATCTAAAGTTGAGTTACAGAGAGGCCCAAGAACGCGCAGATCTAACATCGGAGGTCTAAAAAAAGGAATTTTTTTGGAAGTGTCCCAGAGTCGATGATGAGGAATCTCTTTGTGCAATTTCGCAAAACTCCACCGTCGCTTTGGCTATTTATGCTCTAAACGTGAAGATTGGGTGGTGGGGGCTTTAGTGGTCCTGAATCCGAGGAGTGATTTGAAGAATTTCGAGTTCTTTCCCATTTTGAAATGTGGTTACCGGTGGTGTATTGAGAGTAGCTCCGACAAGTAGTTTGTTGAGGAATGCATCTTACTGAGAGAGAAAACGATTTGTGTTTTTGTGAGAGAGAGAGAGATTAATTTTCATTTTTTATTTTTAATTATTTAAATACCAAAGTAAATAAAGAAAATATAAAAAAGAAACGAAAAGGGCAAAATCGACTTTTCAAGTGTCTCAGGACCAAAAAGCCAGAAAAACTGTGATTTTGGACCTTCCATGCAAGATGGAAACTTTTTGTACCATATCCAAAGTTTTTTGAATACCACAGGGATCAATCTTACAGTTTTGTCAAATAAATTCTTATACATATTTAATTAACATATAGAAATATTTTTATACATATATAACGTTTATATATATATATATATATATATATATATATATATATATATATTATATATATATATATATATATATATATATATATAAAAGTAACTTTTAAAAACACATATAAAAATGTTGTGCATGTATTTGTACCATTGTACGTATAAAAATGTTATATATCTATTTTTAGATGTAAAAACGTATAAAAATCCTATTAATATATTTATACGTGTAACAATGTTTTATACATATTTATAGATATAAATACGTATAAAATTGCATTTATATATACATATATACATATAAATATGTATAAATACATAAAAAAGCATACAAATATTTGTACACAATTTTAAAATAAACAAAACATATACCTATATTTATATACCTTTACAAACTTATTTATATGGTATAAAGTATCCTTAATTATTTTTAAAGGTATAAATACAATTTTAAATAAATAAATACGTTTATAAATTCATGAAATAATAATAATAATAATAATAATAATAATAATAATAATAATAATAATAATAATAACCTGCATGTTAGATATTAAGTATAATCTTTTAAGAAAGTTTTCAAACAAACTATTTTAGTCTAGCAATAAAGGTGTTGGCTTTCTGGGGAGGATATATGGGTTCGAACGCCCTTCCTCCATTTCTCGTCGATTACTTGCGTTTTTTCTCCCTTGAATAAAACATCTTTCCAACCTAACAACTTCATCGCATCAACTAAGGTGTGACCTACCTTTAAAGGTAAACTCCTAATATGGGGTAAAAATAAACAAATTTGTTGAGTGCGTCAGCTAAGGTGTGACCGTCTTTTAAATGTAAAATCCGGCTAGGGGTAAAAATGAACAAATTTGTTGAGTGTAAAGGTTGAGTTGCTTATTAGAGTCTTCATAAGCCTGGCTACTTATTGGCAGTTCGCTTAAGCAGGTTACATATGGTAGTTAGTTAGCAGGGGGTGGAGGGGAGGGCGGGATGGACACTTTAATCGAAAGGCCCGAAACCAATAGTTATTGTTCTACCATCTAGACGCAGACTATGATTTATTAATAGTTAACAAAGTAGTAAAATATAATAACAATAATTATATTTCGGTACAACTAATTATTTTAAATTTACAAAAATTATTTTACAAAATTACTAATTATACATTGACAATTAGCCGATCAAATTATTTTCGTTAATGTTAATTTTTCTTTAAACTTTATAATATTCTTTTATTTAAATAAATATAAGTTTAGGATTAACAAACATTAATTGACAAAATTGCAACAATAGTCCATGTGGTATGTTTTTTTAGGGGTTTTTAGTTCAAACTCTGACTTTTTTTTTTTGGCTTCATGATCATTTTGAGCTAGTTTATTGCCTATTTGGTCCATCGGTAAACTGAAATGACTTTAATATGCTTGGGGTATTTATTTTTCATTTTTCTTTCAATTTTTTTAAAAAGCTAATAGTTATTTATTTATTTTAATAATTTTTTTAATAATATAAAAAGAGGGCCCACCTCTCTCTCTCTCTCTCTCTCTCTCTCTCTCTCTCTCTCTTTCTCTCTCTCTCTCTCTCTCTCTCTCTCTTCTCTCTCTCTCTCTCTCTTTCTCTCTTCTCTCTCTCTCTCTCTCTCTCTCTCTCTCTCTCTCTCTCTCTCTCTCTCTCTCTCTCTCTCTCTCTCTCTCTCTCTCTCTGCAAATACAAAACTCAAGAACATATATTCATATTCATGAACACACACTCAAGAACACATACACTCTCCACCTACCATCCCCCACTACCATCGTGTCCTTCACCTCACTTTTTCTTTAAATTGATTTTTCTGGTAACCTCCACCATCTCCTTCTTCTCCACACACACGGAATCAAATCTGAGGAGGAGGAGCTCGTCAGCTGAGGAGGAGATCGGAGACCCATGCACTCGATTTGATTTTTTCTTCTTGAAGGTGTTGCTCCTCCTCCTCCTGTTAAAGCAACCCCTAACGCCGCCGCTGTACGTCTTCTCTTTTAGCCGAGACGAGCTCAAGGAGATGATAGCTTTCATATCTGAGGACCTCGTTTTCAAATCCGAGTATCTTGTTTGTAGACCTGGTAGCGGTGACGAGCTTAAGGTTTTTTCATTTTTTAATTACTAAAATGAATAAATAATTATTGAAACTTAACAAAAATGAATATAGAAATACAAAATAAATAATCAAGGGTATTAAAGTCATTTCAGTTTACCGAGGGACCAAATCCGCAATGAAACTAGTTCAAAATGACCACGAAGCCCAAAAAGTCAGGGTTTGGACTAAAACCCCATAAAAATGCATACCACATGAACGATTTTTACATTTTATCTAAATAATATTAAAAATACTTAAGCCTCATAATAGACTAGCTAAATAGCTAATTCTCTTAAAAGTGGTGCAGGTTTATAACGAGTACTCTTTAAAACGTAGATATTGTAACATGTTAGTGAAAGAAATGGAAAGAAAGATAGAGATAAAAGAGCAAATTACAGATCAATGTCAATAGAAATCAATGTAAATGGAGGTCGTTGCCTCACTGGTCCGAGATGCAGTGTGGCATACGGTGGAGAAAGCCCTCCGACAAAGGACTAGCAGAGGTCGATGTCGAAGTTTCAGGCTACTCAATGGCTGTGAGGAGCAGGGCTGACCCAATACATGGGTGAATTGGGCTTAGGCCCAGGGCATCAAACTTTTAAGGGCATCAAAATGGTGCGGCTATATATACTATATATTATAATGGCCCAAAAACTTAGCCCATATTTTGTTCTGTGATGTGAGCTCAACGTGAGAAAGGAAGAGACGTGCCAAACAAATGAATAATCATCGTATCCTCGATCATTCGCATAGATAAACCAAACGTCGCCTCTCGCTTGGTGCCTACTGCCTAGAAACCTGTTGGCTTTGTCAATGGGATTAATGCGGCATTGCCTACCTAGAAACGTCGCCAACAAATAAAAAAGTAAGATTTGATTTCTCTATTTTTCACTTCCAGTCCATAAATCGATAACATATATCTCTCAAATCTCGTTATCTCAATTTCTTTTTTTATTAGTTGACACTTAGTCACGATATATCAACGATTCCTCTGATCTAGTCCGGTTTCAAGGTCCGATTTTCTCTAATCTTTCTTCTGAAGTTCTGATTTAGTTATTCATTGATTTTGGTGTGATTTGTTTCTTGTTGGTTGTTTTAGAAATCAAGTTTCGGTGTTTTCATTCGAAAATTATGTTTATTTAATTTAGGCTTTCAAAAAACTAATTAATTTCTTATTTAACTCGTTTTCATAAGTTATTTTGAAAAATAGAATGAGAGTATGAGACTCGTTGATTTCACTTGAAAATAGTTGAGATTCAAAATAATAAGTAGAATCGACACCTTTATCTTGAGTTTTTCTGTACTCTCCTAATTTCAAAAAATATTGATATTCCAACTATTAAACGATTTCATTCGATTTGGTTTCTGTTTCAGAAATCAGATTAGTTTTTTATTTATTTGATTTCTACTCTATTTGATTACAAGGAAAAAAGAGTGGAATCCTCAAAAACTTATTGGATTTTTATTTATTATCATTTTTTCACTGTTGCATTAATCAGATGTGGGTTTTGTTGGTTCTGAAAGCATATTTGGATGAGTTCATTCGAAATATGTGTTTAATTTGCTTTGTTTTATAAATCGGATTTATTTCTTACTTCTTGGATTTTATATTTGATTCAGGTGTTTTTGTTTCTATAAGCAATTTAAGGTGAGTTCTACCGTTTTCTCCAAGTTTGAGATGTTTCAGAAATCAGACTTTAAGAAATCAGATTTGTATATTTTGAAATCTGTTTGTATATGCTGTTTCAAATATGTTTTCTCCAAATCTGATTTGTATATGACTTTTCAGAAATCAGATTTTCGGATTCCGGTGAGTTTAATTTCTAATAAGTTTGTGTTTAATATTTGTTGTATAAACAAATTTTCTAAACCTTCGTGTTTTTTGATGTGATGTGAAGCAGGAACAATATTTCTACCTGCTGTCAAAA